GCAGAGGAGACTGAATTACATAATACATGTGGTTTTCTTTTCATTAAAAAAATGTCAATGATCTAGCTTTTTAAACAGGCCAGTTTATTTGACAACTGGTGGGCCTTGGCACCTTAGCAATAACAAAAGCTGAGGTGCTAAATCATCAAATCCTAATGCCACTTTCTGAACACAAATTCTCTATGTTCAAATGGTTTTCCATTCTTTCAGATGACTCTTGAAATCCACTGATTTTCTTTAACTAGACCTTGTTGTTGTTTTATTTTTTGTTTTTTTTGAGATGCATGCCTTTGGCTGTCTGGTGAAACCTATGGACCCCTTCTTAGAATATTTTTTTAATGCATAATATAAAATATGTAGGATTGCAAAGGAAACCAATTATATTGGAATACAGTCATCAAAATATTTTTTAAAAAAATTCACAGACCCCCGCTTAAGGATACATCAAACTAAACACTTCCAGGACTTTAGACCGACAACCTTCCACACACAGAGGATATGTGTGAGTATGTGCACACACCATGCACGCACATACACATACACACACATACCCCACAAATACTAATAAGAATCTGGGGAGCAATAGGACAAACTCTAAATCATTTTATAGTAAAGCAGGGCTCAATTTAAAAAAAGAAAGAAAACCCAGCAATTCTCTCATCCCATTGCTGAAAGTACCACCAAGAGGCTGCATGACCTGAGAAAATGTAGTCCCTAGAGAGGAGGGGGCACAAGCATGAGAATTTACAACTCTTGTGCAGACTTGTATTAATTCCGAGATATGTTACCAAGTCATTTTTGTCATTCTCCTTTTAAAATATCATGTATGTGTAATTCATTGCAAAACTAGACTCCAAACTGGAATCTACCTTTGGAATTCTTCCAGTGGGCAAGGAATGGAACCAGCATGAATGACAATGAGCAGTGTTTGGCAGGAAAGATTCTGGAGTCTGGAAGAGTAAGACTGAATTGTTACAGGTAAGTGTTGTAATGCAGAACATTATTTTACCATTTAGGTAGTAGAACCCTTTAGGCCATGGAAAACTCCAAATTCCTTAGCAAGACCCTTATCTGGCTGCTCAGGCTCCAGCCCTCAGATCATATCTCTGGAAACCTCCAGATTCCTTAGCAAGACCCTTATCTGGCTGCTCAGGCCACAGCCCTCAGATCATATCTCTGGAAGCCTCCATTGTGAGAAAGTTTGCACAGCATTATCATATCTACACAGAGGGAGAAGGGTGTCCTTGACCAGCCCCCAAAAAACCTCTTCCTCTTGCCAGACTTCAAAGATCCATCCCCCTCCCTGTCCTGTATACTCCCTATATAAACCCTAGCTCAACCCCTGATGGCGGCTGCTTGATTTGGATGTGAATATCCCTGGCAGCCGAGCGCTAATAATAAAGTCCACAATTTAAAATTAGCTTGGGTGGTCAACTCGCTAATTTCTTGGTATAACAGTGTTACACTCCCAAACTGCTGGCTCTTTTAGTGCAAAGAAGTTATAGCTGGGGAGAAATTATAGCTAGCAAGAGCTAATGTCTTCCATCTAACTTTCTTTAAAAAACTATTTTAAAAACAAGGCAGAAGAGGAATAAATGAACCACATCTTTGAGCTCCATTGGGAGCCCACATTCCTTAAACCATCTAAGCTCATCCTTTGATTTACAGATGAGAAAAACAGGTCCCGAGGGGAAGTTGCTTATTTAAAGTCACACAAGAAGAAAATTAGAAGTAAATAATGAATAAGTGCATTTCCAGTACATGGAGCAGCTGGAAGGTTAGAGACCAAAACTCAATTCTATTTTATTCACAAATGCATAACTAAAGAAGAGTGCAATTGAACTTCTATAAAATAAAATCAGCATCCAGCATTTTTTTTCCCATAGGGTTTTGAAATAAGAAGCCAGGCAAATCCTTTTGGAGACCTCAAACAAAAACTAAATATCCTGACATACAATAGGAGATAGAACTTTCAGATTCATAGAACTAAATCACCAACAAAAGGATATTACATATAGAGACAGACCTTTAGCAGCAAAGGAAAGAACTTACTGGTCAATGAGAAAGACCCAAAAAACCCCCCCTCAATTCCTCATTTTTTGAGGCAGAATTATAATGCTGGTTTTTCTTAAAACAAAGAAGATGGAGAGAGAAACCTCTAAGAGGTCACAGAGTTGATCATCCTTCTGTCTCTAGAAAGCAATACCTATCCCTCAGTCCCTCTATCATTTTTTTGTAAAAAGCAGGTCTGTTAGCTATCATCCAATTGTCCCCAAGTTCAAGTATTAAATGAAGAAACTACAGTACTCTGAAATTGATCTCATATTCTACTTGAAGGAAAATGGAGAAGGATGAGAACAATTATTAAAAAAAAAAAGCCGAGGGACACATTTAATTGAATAAGCAGCAAAAGGTGAGAGTTGGACAAATGATACTATCTAAAACCAACTTTACAGAGAAATTGTCTTTTAAGGGAACTTTTAGCCCTTTTTATTTGAAAAGCAAAAGGTTAGAAAAAAGCAGCAAAGGTACAGTCTTTCTGAGATATGAAGTAAACAGTTTCACCCAACACTAGAAAGCACTACATTAGGTACCCAAGCACCTACAGAAGAGAAGGGGGGAGCAGTCAGATAGGGAAGAGGAGGTGCAGGGAGATGCTAATTCAGCGATCGGACACACACAACATTCTAGAACGATTATAGTCATTCCAGAGAAGATAAAGTATAAAAGGAAAGGTGACCAAACACTGTGCATTTAAATGCAGAAATGGTGAAAATTAAAACACATTTTTTATCCTTTTTATCCTTTATTTACAGAACAAAATATAATGGGTATCCCTTAGAACATTGAGTAGGTCCAGCCTAGCAAATATAGAGGGTGAGCATGAAATTGTTAATAACATCTGTGAAATAACCCAAATCTTATAGCTGGGAACTCCCACATAAGTGCATATTATTACACAACATAATACGATCCTTGGATTGAAAACTGATCAAAATTTTGCCTGTTTTCTGAACCAATCATTTGTACACACACTTTACCATTTTTTAAAAGCTCAGAGGTTATTTAGAGTTGTTTGAACCTCAAAACACCCACAGCACAGCTGAAACCTACATAAAAACAAGCTGATTAGACTTGAAAAGTATGTATCTATGAAGCAGAAGGTAATGGCAAAGAGGTGGAAGGCAGACAGAGATCAGAAACTGGAAATGAAGCCTGGCCACAAGTAGGGTGGATTAGATGTGTTGGAGTGCAATGAAATTCACACAGTGGGCAGACCCTAGTAGACTCTGAAGCCATTTATACCAATCATTCTAGTCATACTGCACCAAGATGGTAGCCCACATAAAGGCATGGAAAACTGAAACCTACACTTCCCTGCATCCAGTCAATTTCCAAAGCTACTTTCCACACAGTAAGGCCACGTGCCTTCTGAAGATCAGCTTAATAAAACTAACCTGAAAACCCATTATGACCCAAAAAGCTCATTCTTTTTGAATCAGATTTTAACACCTCAAGGTACCATTAGGATTATAGATATCTACATGGAAGCAGAGGCATGTATTCATGTCAAAAATGGCCACAAAGCAGCACAGGTTGACAGAAGGCAAAAGAAGCAGGCAAGACAAACTGCTTTATCTGAAATGATCAGCAATGGGCTTCATTATAAGTATCCCAGATTCTCCATCTCATTCCTGTACCGTTGCTCGGACACCTTGCTCTTGTGCTATTTACTTTCTAAATGCTGCCGAAATTCCATCTCTTCACTAGCCCCGGCGTTACACATGGAGCAGTAAAACTGGCCGCTGGGGGTGACACACATGGCAAGGTCATGGGGAATCCACTCTCGAGATCGAGGGTTGAAGTAAGGCCCTGTATTATTTTGAAGAGCATACGCATTGTTCCTGTTCTGCACCATTTTATATTCATTCCAGTCTTTCCGGGTCCTCCGTTGACTTGCCTCTGATGAATCCAAGGACAGGTTGTTCTGGGCCTCCACCAGTCTCGTCCTCCTAGCATGATTCTTCCCTTTGTAGTGAGCCTGGGCCACAGCAAGGGAACTAAAGAAAGCATCACAGCTTACAGTAATCATTCTCTGTGGCCCTGATCACTTTGCTGCCTGGCTTGGAGATGTCCACCTGCTGGGGGGAAGCTGTCACGACAGGAGCGGGGACGGACTCCACTACGTGGCTCATTCTGGTAGAGGGTGGACAGCAACTCGCTGCATAGTAATTCCGGAATTTCTTACTATGATTTTGACCCTGATAATGAGCTTGAGCCTGCTGGGCTGAGTTAAAGGTGACATTACAAAGTTTACAGTATACAAAGGCCTACATAGCTCCTCCAGTGCAAAACCCTGCTCTGAGGCCCCAGCTCTGGCAAGCTCCTGTGCCCGGGGCAAGGGCAAAGTGGCCTCCAGCTCCAGAGGTCTCTGCTGCGGGGACAGCAGAAAGGTGGAAGAGGGGGTGAGAGCTGCTCAGGGGGAGGAAGTCCGGTGTGCTGCAAGAGGATCATTGGGCAGGAGAGTGGGCATGCTCCGGGGGCCAGTGGAAAGCCTGGTCTTCAGATTGGGGCACCAGGGGCCGGCTGCGGCTCACGCACTGCTGCTGAGCTGGGGACCTCCGTGCGCCCCGAGTCGAACCGCCCCGCACATCCCAGACCAGGTGAGGTGATGAACTCGGGCCGCCTCTGCGCCCTCCCCGGCTGCTCGGAGCTCCCGACTCCGGCTTGGGGAAGCCAGAGCTACCGGACACCTTTGTTTGTGATTTTTCAAAAAGTTAGATAATTATTTCTCCTTGTCTTATTTTCCTGGTAAATTATTTTTGATAGTAGATAGCCTATTTTTTAGATAGATACTTCTGTTGAAATAGTAGATACCTCTATTTTTTTTCAGTCTTTTCACTTCTTACACAAGGCAGGTAGATGGCACAGTAGATAGAGTACCGGACCTGGAGTCAGGAATATATGAGTTCAAATGTGGTCTCAGACACTTACCAGCTTTGTGACTCTGGACAAGTCACTTAGCCTCATTTTATCCAACTGCAATATGGGAATATCCCAGGTTGGCTGTGAGAATAAAATGAGATAATATTGTAAAGTGCTTTGTAAACCTAAAAGTGCTATATAAATGCTATTATTCATAATAATTCACTACCAAATAGTTATATTATTAATATTTAGCAATAATCTCCAACTGGGAGTTGGTTCCCCCCTATTATGACCCAGATAGCTTCCAATAAAAATGGTGCAGATTTTGCTTGCTAGGCCTCCTCCTACTGCATGTACTTGGTGATTAAATTGGCCCAGTCTCCTGCTGAGGCTCTGAGTGCTCTAGGGCGTGTAATACCTGGTTCTGTGCCTCCCTGAACAGTGACCTACAGGGGATCGTTCTATCCCCTGATGATACTCTGTCAGTCCAGGGCCAAGACTTCAGACCACAACTGTGAGAGCTCTAGATGGTTTCTACCTCCTTTGGTATGTACCCCCTTAAAAGCTATATCTTCCATGTCCCCACCGAGACCAGAGGGGCTCTGGCTTTATAAGACTATGTGGGTCCAGGCCTCCTGACAAATCTCTGCTTAGGCCAACTGCAGGTTTCCAGCAGGTTGCTGGAGCTCATGCCACCTTCTGCCTCCCCTGCCACATCTGTTCTCTAAGGGGCTCTTAGACTAATCTTTTAGCAATCTTCTTACGAAATCTTGGACTAGATGGAGGAGCTTCTTGCTGTTTCTCTTTGGTCGTCTTGGTCATTTGTTGCCCTTTTAGATATTTAGTGGAGGACTCCTTTACTGCCATCATTACTTTAACCAGAGTCCCTGATGCTTGTTTTTTATGGCTATGCCAACATGATAAATGCTGGCAGATTTTGCTGAGCTGGAAAGACTTCGAATAGTCTTGATATCTTTTTCAACTCTTCACTTTCACTCATCCCATGCATCCAGTCATATCCAATCACATTGGGTTATTTCTACCTCCCTAACATCAGTCACATACATCCTTTGCTCTCTACTCACACAGACAGTCACTGCTAGTTCAGGCCCTCACCTAGATGATTCCAACAGCCTTATATTTGGCTTTCCTGCTGCAGGTGTCTCCCCACTCCAATCCATTCTCCATTAAACTGCTAAAGTGAGTTTCTTAAAGTGTGTGTCTGACAATTTCATTCCCTCTATTCAATAAACTCCAGTGACACCCTATGACATCTAGGATCAAATGTAAACTTTTCTGTCTTAAATTTAAAGGTCTTGAAAACCTATGTCTGCTGTTCTCAGGACCAGGCTGGTTAAAGTGCAAAGAGACTGGCCAGAAGGTTTGACCCAGGTTCCCCATGCAATAAAAATCTATATTTCTGCCTATAATGTACATTTACAAGGAGTTTCATAATTTCATTTTTTATACTGAATGCTTTTTATAGATTTGGTGTCATTCATTTCTGTAAGATGGATGGGTACAATTCTCTCTGCAGAAAGGCTTGGATCATAGGGTCATAGATTTAGGGCTAAAAGAGACCTTACCAGTCATCAAATCCAACCCCCTTATTTTACAGATAAGGAAAGTAAGACTCTGACATGGTAAACAACTTGTGGAAGGTCACCCAGGTAATAAGTATCTGAGGCAGAATTTGATTCCAAGTCTTCCTCATCCCAAGTCCAACATTCTATCCACAAAACCATATTCCTTCTCTCTCTTTTTTTTTTAAAGGCAATTGGGGTTAAGTGACTTGCCCAGGGTCACATAGCTAGGAAGTGTCAAGTGTTTGGTCTGAGGCCAGATTTGAACTCAGGTCCTCCTGACTTCAGGGCCGGAGCTCTATCCACTGTTCCACCTAGCTGCACCCCCCCCATATTCCCTCTTAAAGACAAAAGGAAGAGGTTATAGGAAGGGTAGATGATTAGACACAGTGGTAGTGATGTTATATGGCTCACATTGAAGAAACAGTACTGACTAGATGAAGTTAATTGAGTTTCAATTTTTTCCTAGAATTTTGAATCAGTTATTTGGGTCAGATAAAATGCCTTTGGAGATATTTATTTTAGCATCCTTTGTTTTTGCCTTACTTATCATATAAGTAACTTCTAACTTCTTATTTAGTCTCACTATTATTCTTCAAATATGTATTTTCTTTGCTTCTTTTTTTCCATTTTCATTAAAAGTAGAAAACAAGGGGTAGCTAGGTGGAAAGAGCACTGGCCCTGGAGCCAGGAGGACTTGAGTTCAAATCCGGCCTCAGACCAAACACTTGATACTTACTAGCTGTGTGACCCTGGGCAAGTCACTTAACCCCAACTGCCAAAAAAAAAAGTAGAAAACAAAAATTGGGTGTATTCATATACTAGAGACATTTTAAATGATGCATTAAGTATTAAAGAGAATCATTATAATAACATAAGGAAGTGGCAGATTATATTTGTTAAATTCTACATTTTATCATAATAACATCTAGGCATATAGGAAGAGAAAATGCTTTAGGAGAACCTATTTGATAAATACCTAAAATTAAAGTGGTTGCTATATGATGCTAAGTATCAGATCACAGGATGATACTTTAGAGCTGGAAAGGATGTTAGAGGTCATCTAGTCACTTTCACTTTACAACTGAGGCTCAGAGAAATTACTAATGGCACACAGGAAGTAAATAGTAAGTAGCAGAATAAGATTTGTACTCAAATTCTTTGTTTCTTAATCTAATGTGCTTTCTCCCATGCTATGCTGCCCCTCTCAATTGTGGCAGAAGAACAAACAAAAGTTATAACTTTTAGGAACTCTGGGTTATTTTTCATTTTAATTTTGTAAACCTTTATTCTAGTCTTGTCAGTACCTACTGAAATATATATTTGGCATAGCAATATGGTTAATGCACTTGGCATTTTTATTCTGATTCTAGTTCTCTTATTAGCTAGGTGACCTTAAGTCACTTTTTCTTAATTTTTCTGGAAATCAGAAATTATTTCTGATATACTTCAGATATATTTAATCCCTAGTCTTGAAAATCCTTGGGAGGCTGGGTTTATTCCAAAAAAAAAACATTTAACATTCCAGCATCTCCTGGGGACACCAGAATATTCTAGTATTGTCCAAATTATTTAATGATAGGAAAGTATTGAGCTGTTTATATAGGTCTCTCTAGGAATGTAGATTTGAACTGTGTAGGCTTAGGGAAACTGTTCTGGTCTGGATCTAATCTGAGTATTTTTCCAGGTATATCTTCAAAGAAGCCACATGAGATTCAGAATGAATCATGTGAAACCTCTTCTTGAAGTTTTGCTGAAAGAGTAGTCTCAGAGAAGGACCCATACTATTGATTCAGTCTCTTTTTAGGTCTCTTTTTAACTGTATCTTTGATCAGGTTCTTCGTCCACATTTTGGAGTAGGACTCCTAGATCCCAAATTGTTTTAGATATTACACTTCCTAGAAGACTCCAAAGCTTTCTATGAGGGAAATATAATCCACTGCTATCAATGACCATTCCTACCCAGCTGAAAGTAGAGCCATCACCTATTGCATTTTCCATTTGGTTTGGCCATTTGGGGGAAAAAATGGAGCAGTTTTATCAGGGGGTTCTCATTATATGCCTGTATTCCTCTGAACTATTCAGATTACCCTTTTTGGTTGATTTTATATTGCTTCATCCTATTTTCAGACTTGGGGAAACAGCAAAAAGAAAACACTACTAGTGTTAAGTGTCTGAAGGCAGATTTGAACACAGGTCCTCCCTACTCCAAGGCTGGTGCTCTATCCACTGTGCCAGCTAATTGGATACCTGTGTATACCTCCAAGTTTAGTTGGCAAAAATTCTGCCTAAGTGACACCAGGATAGAACACTAAAACTGGAGCCGGGAAGATCTGAGTCCAAATGTGGCCTGAAACACTTATCACCTATGTGACAGTTATACTTACTACTAGTGGAATTTTGAAATTTAGGAAGGAAACACCAATATAATACAATTTTCTTGGTTGACTGCATAGAAATTTGTGGTTTAAATTGTTATACTTCTTCTCCTGTCCCTAGAAGTTCAACTTTTCAGATACTGATGATAATGATAATAAGGAATGGAAACTTTGCTAGCCTAAAGTCTCCTGGGTTATCATTTGTATATTACAGTAACTGAATTTCCAGACTTATGGGCTTAATTTTCTCAAAAGTACAGGGGAAACAAATTTACTCTTTTTGTCTTTTTCCTTTCACCTCTAGGTCTCTTATCATTACAAAACCAAACCAAACCAAACCCTACTATGCTATTTGGGTTTAATGTTTTGTTTTGTTGTTTTTTAGGGTTAAGAAGCCATTAGCTACGGTGGGAAGGGGAACAGTTATACTTGTTACAAGTGGAATTTTGAAATTTAGGAAGGAAACATCAATATGATACAATTTTCTTGGTTGACTGCATAGAAATTTGTGGTTTAAATTGTTATACTTCTTCTCTTGCAGTTAGAGCTCTGGATACCTCCAAGTTTAGTTTGCAAAAATTCTGCCTAAGTAACACAATGGAAAGACCACTAAACTGGAGCTAGGAAGATCTGAGATGTGCTGAGATACTTATCACCTATGTGACTCTGGGCAAGTCACTTAACCTTGATCTGCCTCAATTTCCTCATCTATAAAATTGGAATAATGATAACACCTACCTCATTAAACCCATAGCCCTGGATCCCAGAGACTAATAATTTAAAGTTTAGGTTTAGATTCAAAACTAGGATTTCCTGAAAAGAGAGTTAAAAAAAAGTATTCAATGTATAGTATGAACCAGGTATTTAATTCCTACATAAAAAAGGAATGCTAGATACAGAACACTCATAAAACCCAAATTAAAAAAATACCCAAAGGGCAGTTAGGTGGCACAGTGGATAGAGCTCTAGCTTTGGAATCAGGAGGACCTGAGTTCAAATCCAGCCTCAGACACTTGACACTTACTAGCTGTGTGACCCTGGGCAAGTCACTTAACCCTGATTGCCTCACCAAAAAGCAAAAACAAAACAAAAAAACCTCAAGGGTTGATACTCAAATGAACATGAAAGAGTTTGTGGGACTGCTGATAAAGCATTTTGTATTTCCCGTTGGCTCTGC